GGCTGCGGTGGCTGGGAGCGGCCGCCGCACTCCAGTCTGGGTGGCAGAGTGAGACTCCAACTCAAAAAAAAAAAAGAATGTTTTCAGCCATCATCCCCCAGAGAAAACCCATACTTGCTTGCAGTCACTCCCCACTTCCCCTGCCTTGTGCTACATAAGTTCTTTGAGTGACTCTCACGGTAGATGCTTGGCAGAACTTGGGACTTCCGGTTCAAACAGCCCCTGGTGGGTCTGTGTTCAGATCAGTAAGACTCCGCCATCCCCCCATCCCATCCCTACCCTGGCCCTAGGCCGCCATCTTCATGTGGGGTCGGGAATAAGGTGGCCAAGGACTGTCATGTCCTGGGAGGGCCATGCCCTCCCATTTTCCTCTGTAGAGCGTCCAAGTTTCAGACCACATACCCAAGTGTTTAAGAAATGCAAGGTTTTTTATTTCCAGGAACAGAAGTTTCCGTCAGTGACGAGCTTACTTTCCATCAGGTAGTAAGGACTTCATTCCTTTCAGTCAGTTTGTGTTTTGTTCCCCCAGGGTGGGGGGTGCCAAGGCATGGTGGCAGGGAGGCTTCTGTATTGCCAGCCTGATGGCCTTGCTGGGATGTCCTCATCCCCGATGGGTCCATCCTCTGTCCAGATAAGTGGCTTCTGTGCTTTTATCGTGCCTCAAACCTAGACCAGTTCCGAACGGGAGATCGTCTGTGCCCACCCCCAAGTCCTCTGGGCTACTGGAAAGTCACTTCCATACTCCTGGGGGACCTGGAATCACATTGCCACCAGCCTGCCATACTTTGCCTGAAGGGTTCTGACTCCCCTTCTCATGGCCAAATGTTCAGCAGGCCACATACATCTGTTCCAACCCAGGGGAATCCTTTGGGCTCTGCCCAAGAATGGGGGACACAGTTTTCTGCCTGTCCTGGATCCTCAAATCTAGCTGGGGTCTCTATCATTCTTTTCGGCCCAGGGTCTCAGTTCAGGGCTGAGGGTACTTTCTTGCTAGCCCCCTCACTCCTTCTCCCAGGAGCCCCCCTGAGGCTGGAGAAATGTGCTCTTAGGTGCTGTGCGTTCTTCCAAAGCTTCAGTGCTGCAACTAGGCTCGTGAAGTTCCAAAATCAGGAAGACTTGCTGTCTTTGTCATGTGTTCCCTGTGTGTTTCTGAGACCAGAGAAGCAGAGCGCTCTGTATCCCCAGAGGGGACAGGAGCTCCCAGGAAGGAAGCCTGAATCACTGTCTCACACCATCATCCCGCCACACCTTCAGAGCTCCGGCAAGACCCTTTCGGCAGCGGAGGGGCTGCCTGGGTGCTGATGGGTGGGACTCTGGAATTCCTCTGACCTGAATGCGGCGCCCGGGTTGTGGATGAGGCCCACGGGTGGGGTGGCGCTTTCGATCCCGTCTTCTCCTCCTGTGTGCTGTGGGACAAGTCATCATGGCTAGGGCTGTGGTCCACTTCAAGCCACACATGGAGACCCCCGGCTTCCTCTCGGCTGGCAGGAAGTGCCTCCTTGCTGCCCCCGGGCGTCCTGACTCTTTCTTTTCCACTTTCCAGGTAGGTTTTGTGGCAACAAAGTCCCGGAGCCCTTGGTGTCCACAGACAGCCGACTCTGGGTGGAATTTCGCAGCAGCAGCAACATTCTGGGCAAGGGCTTCTTTGCGGTGTACGAAGGTGTGTTCCGCATGCGTGTGTACACATGTGTGCACACATGTCCCCCCATCCCTTGGTCCTGGACCCTCCACCTTGGAATCACCTGGGGGACTTGACTGCTGCTCAGAGCTCCCCAGACCCACCTGAGCTGGAACTCTAGCGGGCAGGCAACTCTAGTGGCCACCGGGGCAGCTTCTGACAGGCTGGGTAGCCCGCAGTCCTCCTCCCTCCCAAGGTACCTGTGGACGCTCACCAGCGTCATGGAGGCGGAGGGAGGAGGCAGCTGCTGCGGGGGACAGGCTGGGGACTGCACACTCCCCTGGCCCCCACTTGCTGGAAGCAGAGGCTAGCTGTGCTTACTTAAGAACGGGCGTCATCGACCTGTCACCAGCCCACTGAACCCTCATCCCAGGCCAGCTGGGAGGTGGGCTCCCCCCATGCAAGGGTCGTGCCAGGGCATCTAGAGCCCAGGGGAGACCACAGCCACCTCTGAGTCTCTGAGTGAGCCCAAGCAATGAATCTGACTTCTCTGGGCTCTGTTTGTCTCGTTAGAAGACTTTGGACATCAGCAGGGAGCTCCCAGGTACACAGAAGGGACTTCGAGAGCACCCCACTCAGCTACAGTCTGGGCTCTAGACAGGCTCTCAGACAGCGTGCTTCTCTTTGTTTTATGTGATGGGCTTCCCTGGCTCACTCCCCAACCCATCCTATACCCCAAAGAAGGGAAACTACTAGAAAATCATCAAGGCCCCTTTTGGCCTTAAGTGATTGTCATCTTGGAGAAGCGCAAGTGATGTTTTTGTAAAAGAAGCCATGTGCATGTGCATGCGTGTGTGCATGTGTGTGCACACATGTCCCCCCGTCCCACGGTCCTGGACCCTCCACCTTGGAATCACCTGGGGAACTTCACTGCTGCTCAGAGCTCCCCCAGACTCACCTGAGCCAGAACCTCTGGGGAGGCAGCTGTAGTGTCTACACTTGGGAAACTCCCCCTGGTGATTCTGGTATCCGAAAACGGTGGGCAACCCCGGCTCTGCACGGTCACTTTCTTTGTATGAACAAAACTCAAGAGCTGGAAGCTTAGGTGCACGGTACCTTTTTCGGGGGCATCGTCTTTGTTGGATGGAGATGAAAATGTTGGTGAGTGAAGCCACCTAGTGGTGACGCGTGGCCCTGGCTGTCCTAAGATCTGACCAGGACTCCCCACCTTCCTCCTCCACCGTGTCTTTGTAAAGCTACGTGCGGCGGAGACATTCACAAAGACGCGGGGCAGATCCAGTCCCCCAACTACCCGGATGACTACAGACCTTCCAAGGAATGTGTTTGGAGGATCACGGTTTCGGAGGGCTTTCACGTGGGCCTTGCCTTTCAAGCTTTTGAGGTGAGTGCTGTCAGACCGGCTTTCCGAGGGTGGTGAGGTGAGTGACAGTGTTTCCTAGACACCCTCCACTCCACAAAGATGGATTTCCTTTTTTTCAGTGGAAAACAGAAAACTCAGAGGTCATTTTCCTTCCTTCCTTCCTTTCTTTCTCTCTTTCTCTCTTTCTTTCTCTCTTTCTCTCTCTCTCTTTCTGTCTCTGTCTGTCTCTCTCTGCCTCTCTTTCTCTCTCCCTCCCTCGCTTCCTTCCTTGTCAGAGTCTCACTCTGTTGCCCAGGCTGGAGTGCAGTGGCAGATCACTGCTCACCGCAGTCTCATCCTCCTGGGTTCAGGCAATCCTTCCTCTTCAGCCTCCTGAGTAGCAGGGACCACAGGCACGCACCACCATGCTTCACTAATTTTTTTGATAGTTTGTAAAGATGAGGTCTCGCTATGTTGCCCAGGCTGGTCTCGAACTCCTGGGCTTGAGCAATCCTCTCGCCTCAGCCTCCCAAAGTGCTGGGGTTACAGGCGTGTGCCACCGCACCTAGCCTCAGGGGCCATTTTCAAGCCCACGGTGGGTTGGGTCCGGACATCTGACATCAAAATCCTTGCAGACTGAAATGGGGTTGACTTTCTTTCTGATGGCTGCTGAAGAGATTGGTTGAGGGAAGCAGTCAAAGTGAGCCTCTGGGAAGGGGCCCAAGGAAGTTTTGTCGATTCATTCTTCCCTGTGTATCCTCTCTCATTCTTGACTTGGCTTGATTCACCCTTGTTCTTGCCATCAGGGGGCAACGTGGAGAAGCCCCAGCCACGCGTGGATCCTTTCCACGCTTGGCTAGGCTTTGAGAGTGACACTCGGGTTCCCTTTTTCGATCGGATGCCTAAACCCTGCACCATCTGCTGTCGGCCCCATTGCCCGTGTTCCTTCCTTTAGATCGAGAGGCACGACAGCTGTGCGTACGACTACCTGGAAATCCGGGATGGCCCCACGGAGGAGAGCGCCCTGATTGGCCACTTTTGTGGCTACGAGAAGCCAGAGGATGTCAAATCCAGCTCCAACAGGCTGTGGATGAAGTTCGTGTCCGATGGCTCCATCAATAAAGCGGGCTTCGCGGCCAGTTTTTTCAAGGGTATGAGTTAGCCATGTGTCTCCACTTTCACGCACAAGAAGAAATATTGCTCCCCCTGGCTTAGGATTCTCAAAACCCATAAGGAAGCCAGCACCCGTCAAGGCAGCCCGTCTGTGGGGTTCCCAGCGGAGATCCCAGTTGGTCAGGAACAGGACCTACCTTGGTGTCCACGTGCCAGAAAGCTCTACGTGGCAATTAGATTTTAAGTTTACAAGGCAAACTGCATGGTTGGGAAACTGAGCGTTGATAACCTTGAATATTTGTGTAGCGGCTCTCGTTAACTGAGCACCTACTGCTCACCAAGAGCTGTGTGAGGCCCTTGACTCACATGATGTGGTTTAATTCCCACAGTGACCCTTTGAGGTGGGTTTGGAGGGCATTTGGCCAGGGCCGAGAAGGGCTGGTCAGGATCATGCCGATGGCTAAGTGGCGGATCCGGAATCCAAGCCTGGCCAGCCTAAAGCCTGAGCTCACTCTTGCCACGACGCTGCCTCACGTACCTTGGTGGGGGCCAGATGGGTAACCCGGGTCCCCAGCTCCTGAAGGCTCGGTACCCCCAGCCTGCATGCCTCCTCTGAGGGATGGGCGTGGGAGGAGGCTAAGGGGTGTTGCTCGGGGAATGAACCTCCGTGCTGCCATGGAGACTTGATTCTCTGTGGCGGTCTTGATGGGGCCAGACCCAGAAGAGCTGGAGCAGACCCAACCGTCCTGGCCCTCTACTGCAGCCGGCTTCCATGCCTCCTGGGAATGGGAAGTTCTTCCCTCTCTGCCCTCAAGGCCCCGGGAGCCCCAATGGCCACCCCAAGAGAGATGCTGGGAGCTCTTTGGGCCTGGGTACCCAGAGGCACAGTGACAGACTTGAGTGGTGATACGCAGCCTTCAGCAACGGGCACGTTTTCTTTAGTGAGTCCCTTCAGACATTGAAGTAGGTCTCAGGCTAAAATTGAGGTCTCGTCAGGGCTGCCTTCCTTCTGGAGGTCTGCGGGGAGTCCATTTCCTTGCCTTTCCTGGCTTCTAGAAGCTGCCTGCTTACCTGGCTTGTGGTCCCCTCTTGTGTCCAAAGCCAGCCATGGCTGCTTGTGTCTTTCTTGAGCTGTATTACAGACCTCTACTTCTGCCGCCGTGTCTCTCCTTCTGACCCCCAACTGTCCTCCTCTCACTTGCCTTTATGTGTGCCCTTGTGTGGACACTGGGCCCACCCAGATCATGCGGGGATCTCCCATCTCAAGAGCTTGATTCAAACACACTTGTTGAGTCTTTTCACCATGTCAGGTAACAGATGCACAGATTTCAGGGACCAGGACATGGGCAGCCTTGGGAGGCCCTCTCGTGCCTGGGGGCAGGGCTTTCCCTCCTTCCTCCCCTCCTGGGACTCCTGGCCAGGCCAACCCAGAGATCCTTACTCCCAGTCACTCCTTCTGACCCATTTGAGACCCTTCTCCCAGGTTCTACCTGAACGGACTGAGTGTCAGAGGAACTCGCTTCAAGCCATAGCACCCAGAGCAGGCAGCTGTTTGTCCTTACTGTAGCCTCAGTTTCCCCCTCTGTAAAATAGGAGGAAGGAAATCTTCCTCTGTGTGAAGTCTTTACATAACCAGTTGTTGTGAAGACCCAGGGAAAGGCTGTCTGCAGAAGCACTTTATAAGCTGCCAAGTGCCAGACGAGATGTGGGACTTATTTTTTCCCATCTTGAGGCCCTGGGGAGAGTGAAACCCAAGCAGAAACAGAGTAAGAACCATCATGCTCGGAATGATTGGAGACAAAACTTTGTTTCTTTCCCAAGCCAAAAGAGAAAAAAAAAAAAGCCCATAGCGAGTGTATTTCAAATGCAGGCCAGCTTGTGATTTCAGAGGGAAGAGGGACATGACAGCCTTGGTCATGGTGCCTGGGAATTCCCAGCCCCTACCCTGCCCTGGCCCAGCCTGCGTGTGTCCAGCGTCTCCCAGCCTGGGGCGGCCCCCATGCGACATGGCAGCTCGACACTGGCTGTGTGGCCTTGAGCAAGTTGCACAGCTTCTCTGAGCCCCAGTCTCTTCAGCCGGAGAAACGGTGCTGCCGGGTTATTGCAAGGTTGTTGTCAGGAGAAAATGAAATAGTGAAAGGGAATACACCTGGTGTAAATTTTAGTCTGTTAATTTGCATCTGCTGGGATAGAATCTTTGAGGTGATTATTCCCTCTGGAAGGAACAGTGTGAACATTTCTTCTTGCTGCTGTGATGTATCAGTTTCGTTTTGCTGCTGTAGCAAATTGCCACAGGCCTGGTGGCTTAAAACGGTACAGATTTATGACTTGACATTTCTGGAGGTCAGACGTCGAAGTAGGTCTCATTGGGCTAAAATCGAGGTCTTGTCAGGGCTGCCTTTCTTCTGGAGGTCTGCGGGGAGTCCATTTCCTTGTCTTTCCTGGCTTCTAGAAGCTGCCTACATCCCTGGCTTGTGGTCCCCTCTCGTGTCCAAAGCCAGCCACGGCCGCTTGTGTCTTTCCTGGGCTGCATCACAGACCTCTGCTTCTGCCGCCGTGTCTCTCTTTCTGACCCCCAACTGTCCTCCTCTCACTTGCCTTTATGTGTGCCCTTGTGTGGACACTGGGCCCATCCAGATCATGCGGGGATCTTCCATCTCAAGAGCTTGATTCAAACACACCTGTTGAGTCTTTTCACCATGTCAGGTAACAAATGCACAGATTTCCGGGACCAGGACATGGACAGCTTTGGGAGACCCTCATCTTTTTTTTTTTTTTTTTAACTCTGTTGCCCAGACTGGAGTGCAGTGGCACAATTACAGCTCACTGAAGCCCAGCTGTTGTCACAGATGTGTACCACCATGCCCAGCTAATTGTCTGATTTTAAATTTTTTTCTACATATCTATTTCTTTAAGGGATGAGGTCTCCTTATGTTGCCCAAACTCCTGGGCTCAAGCAGTTCTCTCGCCTCAGCCTCTAAAAGTGCTGGAATCACAGGTATAAGCCACTGCACCGGGCCGGGGAGGCTTTATTCTGCTCACCACGTGGCATGAATGATTATGAAGTTTTTTTTCTATTTCTGTGTATCCTAATCCTCCTGACCCGCTTCTCCCCACGACTTCCACCCTGTCTCTGTGATTCAGGTGCTGAACTCTGCTTCAGGGAGATAATGTAACCAGTTTCCACGGGCCCAGCCACACCCCGTTCCTTGTTCTACTGGTAATCAGCAATGTACATGCTTGAGGGAACCAGCTGAGGCTGGAGATGAGGTTTGGCAGATTTAGGAAGTAAAAGAACCAGGATGCTCAGTTACTTTTGAATTTTAGAGACAAGATGATTTTTTTTGGGTAGTATATGTTCCAAATATTGCATACTGTGCTAAGCTGCGATGTGTTGTTTACCTGAAAGTCAGGTTTAACAGGACCATCTGAATGTTTGTGGCAACCCCACTGGAGGTACCAATCAGGGCAGTGGAAGGGAGTGCTTCTATGAGGCTAGCCTGGTGTGTAAGGAATTGAGTGAGATCCTGAACCCACTGAGTCACTGTGATAACCGGCTCCATGTACTGGTGAGAAGATGCCACCCTCCGCCTCCTCCACGTGGAACATGTGTCCAGCATCCCATCAAACTGTGTGTTGGCGCTGTGTTAGGGCTGGGGACACCAAGAATAGCACACACTGAGTGTCCTTAAGAGCTCCAGGGGGTGGAGGAGACCGGAAGCAAACATGCCATGACGTTGCCATGCGGAAGGTGGAGGCTGTGCGATTCCTCCTGGGGCGAGGCTCAAGTTAGTCTCCCAGTGTCCTACTTCAAGGGCATTTCATTCTGCAGACACCTTTTGAGATGCCTGTGCAGATGTCAACTGAGGCCCACCTACAAACACTTAGGGCACAGACCCGGCTTGACCTCTTTTTATGTCAAGGAGGACGGCAGAGAGCCACGTGTAGAAAAGAGGAAATAAGCCGGACTCCGTGGCTCAACCTGTAATCCCACGCCTTGGGAGGCTGAGATGAGTGAATTGCCTGAGCCCGCAGGTTTGCGACCCGCCTGGGCAGCGAGACCTCATCTCTACAATAAATCAAAAAAATTAGCTGGGCATGGTAGTGCGCGCCTGTAGTTCCAGCTACTCGGAAGGCTGAGGCGGAAGGATCACCGGAGCCCAGCAGGTCGAGGCTGCGGTGGCCGGGAGCAACCACTGCACTCCAGTCTGGGCGACAGAGTGAGACTCCAACTCAAAAAAAAAAAAAAAAAAGAGGAAAAGAAGAAATAGACAACATTGCCCTTGACCCTGAATCTTAAAGGAGGACTCGGGACTCACAGAAAGCTCACCTAGACCTACTCAAGGGGGAAAAGACATCTCCTGAGTGCTGTCCATCTCGCCTTCTCTTCAGAACAGCTGCCTGGTGGGCAATACTGTTGCCCCGTTTTACAGTGAGGAAACTGGACTTCCTTGCATGGCAGGGCTGGAACTAGTGCCTGGGTGGGCAGGGGCCCACAATCTTTCACTGAGGTCACACAAAAGCTGCAGGGAAGGGAAGCGAAGGCATCGGTATCTGTCCCCAGTGTTGGTGACTCAATTCACTGGTCACCTTCCTACCTGCTCAGGACGACGTTAGCGGGGAGGGTACGGGCACTGGACTTGGCGTCTGGAGCCCTGGGGGCTCGTCAACTGCCTTCTGGCAGGTCAGTTTCATTTCTGCAACTGGGTCCTATCTGCATTGTCCTCCACTATATTCCCCATGCTGGCACACAGTAGGCTCCTTAAATGCTTATTGAGTACTGTCGTGAATGAATGGATGAATGAATGAAGGTGCCTCAGTTTCCCCACTGGTAGATTGGACCTCCTTCTACCTGCCCTTGCAAGGTTCTTCCAAAGAGTAGTGAGTGAGTTCCACAGCCCTGTACAATACTATCCCACAGAAGTAGGACGCAGTGCTCGATTGAGGCCAATCTTAAATGTTCTAGCAGCCACCTTACCAAAAATCAGGCGAAATGAAATTTTATTTACCCTAGTCTATCCAGGACAATATCACTGCAATATGTGATCAATATCCACAATATCAGGGAGATAGTTTCTGGCTTGTGCATGCTAAGTCTTGGCAATCCGGTGTGTGTTTCAAGCTCATAGCACATCTCAGTTTGTTCCAGCTGTGTTTCAAGTGCCCAATGGCCAGCGGGGGCTGGACTTGTGGACCAGACAGCACAGGTCTAGAGATGGGCACAGCCAGCTGCCTCAGCCCAGACTTTTTCCAGCAAGGCCGCCAGTAGGGTGTCCGGTGGACACAGTGCCCACGTGTGCCAGACCTTCTCCAGCGAGCAAAGCTGGAAGAGCGGCTCCCAGGCCCTGCAGAAGGACTGGGGCCAGCCCGGGAGGCTCTGACCGTGATGCCAGCTGGCAGCAAGCTCTGTCCAGGGCCCAGCTGGCGCCTGACACTGGCCGGGATGCCAATTGGCCTCTGCAGCCCCTCTGGGTGCCAGATGGCAGCCCCATCAAGGCCTACTGTCCAGGCAGTGGGCAGAGCACCTTGCATGCCTGGTTACAGCGGGGAAGGCAGCAGCATTTGAGGCTGGTGGGGCCACTTTGGTCCCCCAAAGTACAGAGCAAAGGATCCCACCTTGGTCTTGCATCCTGCCATCCCGGTGCTGAAGGGCCACCCTGGGGGAGGGGCTGGGGGGCGACTGGTTGCCTCCAAGGTATCTCTTCAAAAGTCCGGGGATGTGCCCTGCCTCCTCTTTCCTTAACTCTTTCTGGAACAATCTTTGAGGTCCTGCCCGAACCGTCTCATGATGTAACCTCAGAATGACTCCTTCTTTTGCTCATAGCTGGAGAAGGAGAAGCCAGAGCTCCGGCTATGCTAACCTGAGCCCTGGTTCCAGCCTCTTTGCCTACCCCTGCACTCTTCCAGATTTTTCTGAGAGGCTTGGCCTTGGCCCCTCCAGGGCGGGCACAAGCCAGTAGGCTTGGAGCAGATGCTGCTTTCCTGCAGTGTGGAGGCCACGCAGACAGCCACATTCCCCCCGAGAGAAGTGCACTTCCAGGCCCAGAGCACTAACAGGGCTTAGAGCACTTCTATGTCATCCAGCCAAGCAGCTGCAGGCCTCCAAACAACCAAACATTCCTGGACTGCTGCTGGAGACAGCTCAGGTGTGGAAGTACACCTTCCGCCCTCCTTCCTGCGGCAAAACCATCCCCTTCTAGTCCCTGGAGGAATGATTGCTCTGGGTCCAAGTTCATTCCCTGGCTGCCCTCCCATAGCCGGCTGAGATGGCGTCAAGAGACGTGCTCCTCGGTGAGCCTCTCCTTGCCTGTGTGTCCTGTCCACCGCTGCAGCATCTTCTGGCATCAGTCCCTCCCTGTCCCTGCCTTAGTCTTTTGTCTGTCTTAGTCTCTTCTTTTCTTTGGGACAAGATCTCTCTGTGTGTCACCCAGGCTGGAGCGCCGTTTTGTGATCATAGCTCACTGCAGCCTCAAACTCCTGGACTCTTGTGATCCTCCCACCTCAGCCTTTTGAGTATCTGGGACTATAGGCATGCCATCATACCAGGATTTTTTTTTCCTTTCTTTTTTTAGAGATGGGATCCTGCTGTGTTTCCCAGGCTGGCTTAAACTCCTGACCACAAGCGATCCTCCCACCTCGGCCTCCCAAAGCACTGAGATTACAAGTGTGAGCCATCACGCCATCACACCTGTCCCTGTCTTAGCCTCTTCTGACGGGCTCTGCCGTCAGTGTCCTACCTTCCTGCCAGGCCCACCAGTCAGTGTTTTGAATCTGCTGCACCGCCCTCCTGCCCACCCATCTTCTTCCACTGGCCCATCCTTGAAGCATTTTCCTTCTTTCTCGTCTTGCCTTGTCTCCCTCCTCTCCTTAGGCCTGCAGGGCTCTACTCCCACCTGATTCAGCTGTGCCCGGGTCACCTTATCCTCTTCACTACCCCATCCCTGTGTCTCTCTACCCTCTGAAACTTCAAAAGTGCCACGATTGTCTCCTGTGTTGAGTCGATGGCCCATATGCCGGGCACTTCACACCCATCATTTTCAGTCCGCTGCAACCCTAAAAGCAAGGATCATCATCTCATTTTAAAGCAGGAGGGAGGCCCAGAGAGGTTCAAATCACCCATGGTCACCCAATTGGTTGGGGAACGATCTGTTGGTGTGTCTAACTCAGGTCCGACTCACTTTAAACCTGGCCTCTTTCCACCGCTTTTTATTACCCGTTTTCTTCCGGCTATGCCTTCTAGCCAATGTCTAAGAAAGTGCTTTGTATATCGTAAACAATTGCACGCTTGTCACTGTTTCAACATACTTCATACCGACACTTGCTTGAGGCCACGGGCCACTTCAGCTCTCTGCTTGGAGTATCTCTTCTAAACCTACTCGTTCCTAGTGACCAATCCATTCTTGTTGAGCCAAGAATACACCATTCTCAGAGCTTCCCAAGTTCATTCTCCACTGTGGGAAGTGATGGGATATTTACAAACCACCCTTCACGCGGCAAAGGGCTGCCAGGCAGATGAGGAATTTGTGCATTGCAGACAAGGAAGATCGGAGGGAAAGAGGCATATTTGAGTTGGAAAGAACTGAGTGGAGGAAGATAGGCTGATCAGAGGGTTTGCACTTTCTGTAGGACCAGTGGGTTAGAAGTTGGAAGGAGTCAGACTTGTGATCCGAGAAATACCTTTGAAAAGCAGCGGGCGTCCTGGGAGTTCCCAAGCACGGTCTGAAGAGCC